GTTGAATATACCCAGAAAATATCAAATATTAATACACAACCCTGATTAAACTGATAATTTACGAAAGTATTTTACAACAGTAATATTAGTACTAAAAATTGTAATAAATCATAATAAAAAAAAGGTATTTTTTAAAATGTTAACAAAAAAAAATAGGCCAAACCTCTGTTTTCAGGATAGATGAAACTTTAGGCCTAGTTTAAGTCGCAAGATCAAGCTATAAGGCACGCCCGCTCCATAAAAGTGAATACCTACCTGATGGAGGAGGCATTTTGTAGCGCAGACAGTCGGGGTGTACAGTGCGATGACACGGTCCATTACAGAGAAGCATACGACCAGGTAGACTGGAATATACCTCGCATGCTGGACAAACTGGCTGAGGGCGATAGGCAGCTGGGGATGCAACTAAACGATGAATCTCCACATCGAATTCACTGCAACTGGCAGAATATCTCGAAGCGACACCAGATCCCTTTTGTTTCCTTCCCTGAAACAAAAGCAAGGTGCATGTGCTAGTAAACCATTTGAAAATCAGAATGAAAGATGAAATCAGGAGAGGAAAGTAGACCTTGCCCCTCATTTGATCAATAAGGAATGGAAATTAAATGTAGACAAAATTTGCAGATACTCAAAATATAGTCAAAAGTAGTACTCATATAGTGAATTGTTTCACGCTTGTAAAAGCAGTTTAAAGCTTTTGAGCTAGCTAAATAAGAATTGAGTAAAAGGACAAACGAAATATAAAAATTTCACTCACATCAACAAAACTCTTTTTTCCACGACCTTTCTTAGGAGGCAATTCTGAATGATCTTCGCATTTCGGTTCCAAATTTGCCCTGATTTTTTTCATAGCCAAATTCTAGATATACAGCAGAGGTATGTGAATAAGATTTCTTCATAAGCAAAAAAAAAGAAAGACAGCAACCTACCACAGACTTGCGGCTTGCTTGAAAAATTCCAAGTTTGTCACTAATATACTGACGCTTTGTAGCAATGTCAAATGCTGTCCACTGTGTTCTGAGCTCGTTTTCGAGGACGGACTTGCTTAAGTCAGGATCGGCTGAAAGGCGACGTTCCAGCTCTTCTCGCAAAAATGTAGACAAGGATTCAGCTTCCTCCTCAATGGTAAGGGGAATACCAGACATTATATTAACAACATTATCTATTTGGAAATGTGAAAGACGTCATGCATACCCTCCTCCTCCTTTTTAATTCTGCGGCCCTTGGTTGGAACATCGATACGACCGTATTTTTTTATACGCTGCTCTCTAGATATCAAGGCCGCTTGCTCGGCCTCTTTCCAAGATTTGTCCCAAACTTCTTGAATAGTTGGCTTAACTTTGAAGTCATATTTGGATCTTTCCTAGCCCATGGATAAAAAACACGAGACCTACATGTCTGTTTCCACTTAGTAGCTTGTCGCGAATAAGCTGGTCGAATTTTTCTTTACCATAGAATGGTAGTAGACAAGCGGCCTGAACCCATGCACGCTCTACTAGAGGGCCAAAAAACTGCACATGATTTACGAACGTTTTTCCTCTGTTCTTATTATAACAGTCGCCTTCAGGACTATAATAAATCATGCATGGCCACCAGGGATGACTTCCAACTTTGGCCCAAAAAATGTCTCCAAGCTCAAAACTGCTATCTGGTACAAATTCATCGGCTGTCATTTTAATTGATCAAAAGGGGGAACAGCCCAATCAAGTATTTGTAATGCGCGCGCTAAAACCAAAAAATATCTTTATTGTCTCTATTTATATATATAAATAAATGTAAACTTACAATTTTTTTACAATTTTAAGATGTTACTTGTAAATTTGTTATAGTAGTTGGTGTTAGGTAAAATAGTGGCCATAATAAATGACATTGGCTGAATCAGGTCTATGTTCAGTTGCTCTTGCTAC